ATTAACGATAGATTACCCAAAGCAGTTCAAGACATAATTGGAAATTGAGGAATGTTGTTGAACACTGAAGATGCACGGATGGAAAAATGCGACTGACAAACTTATGCGGGCACTTGAAAAAAAAAGGAGATTTGGCTTTTTGTATGGACTGTTAGAGAGTTAGTTATTGGATTACGATAAATACAATTATATGATTATGTGATCCATACATAAATATTAATAATAAATATAATTAATAAAACAAAATATAATGAACATAATTAGGTGACTAAGATGAGATGTTGAGGTTTTGAACTAGGCGATAGTTCGCCCTTCGTAGAATTGCGACAATCGTCACAACATAATCGGTACAACGAGCCACCTAACAGAGTAGGTACAGGACTCTTGAAAAGAATGGAAAGGATTCAAAAGTTTTTTGTGAGCTACACAAATCTTTTTCATTAATCGTAATGCTCGTAAAAATCATCGAAACTTCAGTTGTACAACAGACGATTTCGTTCGTCATAATCTTCTCAACAAAACCTATAATTGATTGATATATTATAATGTTTAGCAGGACATACTATGTACATGATTTAGTTTGGTAAAATTTTTCATATTTTTTGTTCTTCTCAACTGCCCCTTTATGACTCTATCTCGTTCACTTACCAGCCCGCCTAATGTCAGCATGCATCGTCTCAGAATTGAACAATCAAAGACTAATGATTTAAAGCATTTCAACAGGTACACCCTCATCGCTACATCACAGCGTTGTGGCAACTTCAGCTTGCGGCATTTGCTTGAACGGCGCTCAAATTTTCAATTCAAATGTGTATTTTTTGTTGGTGGAATGGGAGAATTTTTGTACATTATAAAGCAGGTTTTTGTTTGAGTAGAAAGATTTTTTTATTGTACTAAGCCGTAGGATTACCCAATTCGGGTTGCGACCAAAATTTTGAAGCGTTTTGCCTCGTGTTTATGTTATTTCTATTTTTTGAATCTTTTTTGACATGTCGTTGTTGTGGTATTAGACTTTCTCGAATACCGTATTATTAAGTGTGGTGTTTGAATCGAGATTGCCGGATGCAAGTTTTATCATTTGCAAGTGATTGACCTACGACACCCATGGATCGCCAAAAAATGCTTGGTCAAGTTCGAACAAAGTATCATTTTCTGTAAGAGGGCAATTTCATTTTTGTTTCAGACCCTCCTTTACAATGTCGGCAGCGCCAGCCGTTCTCAAAGATGGTATCAATACTCCAAAACCTGTGCACTCTGCCGACAGACCAAAATTAAACAAACAGCCTACGACTCCTGTTGGAAAGTTTGTGGTTAAAATTTTTTTCTTCATTTATTTTTCTTCATTTCATCAATTCGGAGAGGTGAGTAAGAATTCTTCTATCTTCCTGTTCTCGAAATACATATTTCGTTCAACTGATGATAGTGAACTAGCTCCTTGAAGTGTATGTATTTTGTTTCAAAGCCCAACGGCATTTCATCCGAGCGTATTTGAAGCATATGAATTTATGAAGCATCTAAAATATGACTGAAATTAAACCTTTATTTGATTTGCAGATGGAGTGGAGGAGGACGATCACGAAGTGAGCAAAAGAAATTGAATATGAACAGTGCTCATCGACGTGTCAGGTCAAAATCCGCGTCGAGAACAACAGATGATGTGAAGTGTAATATTCAAGTGAGTAGGTTTAATAAATAAAACAAACATTAAATTGGTTCAATATAAAGTATTGATGATAGCAACGGAAGGAGGAAATGTGCTGGACATCGTGTTGAAGCATCCAAAAATAGTTTGATTCACACAATTCATTACAACTATTGGCGAGAATGATTCAACACGTAATTTACGATGGTAGTAACTGCGAAACAGTAGATATTGCGATGGTTATAACCATCATAATAATGACAACTTTATGATAGTTCTTCTAGGTCTCTTTACGAGTCCGCCCATTCCTTGAAGAGAAAAGAGGTGAAGAAGGACAAAACGAAGTGTTGCGTATCGAAGGGAATAAGGTAGAAATCACAGCAAATCAAAAGAAGGTTATTATTTTTGTAATGTTGTAATCAAACAAGGTTCTGGAATAATCCAATTACGTCTATATCTGATGCAATTCATTAGTTAGAAATGTACTATAAGTGGTGCAAAATTTAAAATTATGATTGTTGTCATCATTCGATTGCTCAAAACACATTCAAATAAAGTCTCGGGATTTCATGGAATCATTGCATCAAATCTTTCAAAATCGCGTGTGAATTTGTCATCAGTTTCAGAATTGTTTTGAATTCACCAACGTTCTCGACGTTAATTCAACTCAAGAAGACGTATATAACAAAGTTGCGATGCCGCTGCTTTCGCATGCTCTCAGAGGAATCAATGTTTGCGTGTTTGCGTACGGTCAAACCGGTTCCGGAAAAACTTACAGGTTACCATTTGTTCAGTGATCATTTTGACTCATTTGATCGGCTTCTACAAATTGTTCAACAATAAGAATTATTGATTCTCCGATACGAAAAAACTCNTCGAATAAAGATGAGAAACATCCATACAGATTTGGTGCCTGAATGGGTCTGAACCAGACAGAAACTGTTCTCTGTTTTATATCGTTGAAGTTGAGAAAATAGGTTCCATGTTGTATCATGTGAAATGATAATAATCGTGTTTTCAGTATTATTGGCGATCACAATAATCCAGGTCTTCTTCAACGATTCTGTGAAGATCTACTTGACGCGATCCGAGAAGTGAACATCGAAGAACGTCGATTAACCGTATCATTCTATGAGATCTATCAAGAAAAGGTCTGTTCGTTTATTTGTTGCCTTTGCTGTATTGGAGGGGAGTCTAGATCTTTTGCGGCATATGAATTGGGAATTAACATTCAAGAAATACAATAAGTGCATTCGACCAAAACAATTCGATGAAATATCTCATCACTGAATGATTATAAAATGTAGTGGAATAAACGATATTTGGTTGAGTTGCACAGGATGATTGATGCACTGAAACGAAAACTTTTGATATTCAGCGAAAGCAAGCCACATATTTTATTGTGTAACTCGTAATAAGTTATCGTGTAATTTTGGAATTAATGAATCGGAAAGGCGAATGAATAAATAATCAGTGTTTAGGCTTACGATTTATTGGGTGATGTTCGTGAAGC